GACTGGCAAATGGATAAAGGCGAAGTGCAGCAAACAAACGATGCACAAAAACAACACACAGCGACAACAAACAAACACAGCATTGCCTTATAAATGAATAGATATTAGAAATGCAACTGCCTGGCTGCTGCCTCTTTCTTCTCACAGCCTTCGCTTCTTGGGGCTTGACTTGCAGGTGTTCATCTAACAAATGTGGCAATTCAAAAGACTGCAGAGAACTACGATGAAGAACGAGGAAGCAAATGGGCTTTAAGGAGCCTTAAACTATTTCTCCTAGCCAAGTAAATGAGAAGGAAGAACACAAGACAAAACAACACGGATGATAAGGGGGTTAAAGCTGCTTAAACAAAACAACACGAAACAAAAAAGAAATAAGAAACACAGATTCTATTGATGTACAATATTAACAATTTTTTCTTAATTAAGTCCTTATCGCAAACCTCTTCCCTTATAATCAAAAAGAATCATCTCCTATTGTTACTTTTTAATTAATGTTCTTATTGGTGCTGCTATGATTGTTGCAGTTCGTTGTGCTGCTGCTGAGCTGCCTAATGTGTATGTAATAACTTTTCATTACTTTCTTTATGTCGTTCTTTGCTTAGTCTCTAGAAGATGTTCGTTTACCTCTCTCTCGCTGCTGCTGCGGCAGCTGCTAAGAAATGCAATATATGCAATTTGCTGCGCAGGTTTGGCTCTGAGAGGGTTGAGGAGTTGATGAAGGATATTCAACAAACTGTCCTTAACTCTCTTCTAGCAGTACAAAAGGCGAGAAATAGATTGCTGCTGCTGGCTTTTACGCAGCATTTGCTTGCATTTCTGCTTTTTGTTTGCTTATTTGCCTAGCTGCGCCGCTTGTGTGATCTCTGGCGCTGCCAGAGGGAGCAATACGAACAACAACGGCAGCGACAGCAGCACCAACGATAGCAGCGGCAGCAACAGAAGCAGCAGCAACAGCAACAGCTGCAGCAGGAGCACCAGGAGCAGCAGCACTACGTGCCTGCTGTATTTATGCTGATATTTCCTGTTTGAGTTATAAATGCTTTCGTTTAGTATTGCTTTTGCTGAATGCATCTGATTCATTACCTCCTCTCTCGTTGTTCCGTTCCTCTTCCCCATATGCATTTGTCTTCTTGCTTTTCTGTCTTTGCTGTCAACACGAACAATACCAAATTCACTCTATTAACTTTAAGCATCTGTCCCTTGCTCATGTTGTTTACTCTGTGTGGTGCTGAGATGTACGTACACCTCAACGTAAATTTTGTTTTTAACATTTTGCGCGGATTCCTCAGACAATTTTGAATGACAAACACTGCTGCGAGCTCTACGGCTACGACATTATGATAGATTCTTCTTTGCGGTAAACAACAATTAATAATATAATACTATATAATAATATAATTAATAATATTAATAATATTCTAATGCCGCAATATATAATACAGCACATTAAAAATAAATGCAATTAAACAAAAAAGAGGTTACAGCCACATGCAACAAACATAAAACTAAGAAGAGAACAAATGTTGCAAACATCAAACACCACCTCCTACTTTCGCGATTAAAAGTAAAGCATATTTGATATCAGACAGGCTAATACATATATTTGTGTATTGGCGTCTTTGTTTCTTCTTCATTCTTTTCCTCGCTTCTTCACCAGAAGTAATGCATTTCGTTGCTTTGTTTGCAAACAAACGCATGCATGTACACTAGTTCCTCTGTTAAATTTACTTTTGCTGCTGCTGCTCCTGCTGCTGCTGTTCCTATTCCTGCTGCTGCTGTTGGTGCTGCTGCTGCTGTTGCTTCGCTTGCAGGCCATGGCTGTTGGAGGTGAACGCCTCGCCTTCCTTATCAGGTATATGGCGAGACTGCCAGCACCAGGAGCAGTAGCAGAAGTAGCAGCAGGAGCAGCAGCAGATGCAGCAGCAACAACAGCGCTAGCCGCAGCATCAGTAGCAAAATGAAAACGCATCAACACCCACGGCAGCATCAGAAGCAGCAGCAGCAGCAGCATATGCAGCATGAATTGCGTACCGATTTTAAAAAGAGGGGCTGCGACATAAGCGAGCAGCACTTCTCTTGTCTTAGGTGCTTCTGCTGCTGTGCTTTGTTTCTGTCTTTTGTGCTGCACTGTCAACTGCAGCAACAGCACGAGCAGCAGCAGCAGTAGATGCTTCTGCCTGATATTGCCTTTGAAAGTATTGTCGTGCCGCTGCAGCCAAAGAGCACTACAGCAGTTGCTGTAATGCATTGGCGCTGTTGCTGCTGGTGCTGTTGGTGCTGCTGCTGTTGCTATTGCTACTGCTGCTATTGCTGCTGGTGCTGTTGCTGTTTGGTGTGGCTGTTTGCAGCAACGACAGAAGAAGACTACAAATTCAAATTCGATATGTTGAATGATCTCCTCACGATAGTAGATATGGAGAACCTGTCAGTAGCAGCAACAGTAGCAGCAACAACAATAGCAACAGCAACAGCAGCAGCAACAGCAGCAGCACCACCAGCAACAACCACAGATGTAACAGCAGGTACAACAGCAACAGCAGATGCTGCAGCAGAAGCATCTTGCTGCTGCAGCAGCAGGAGCACCTGCGGAAACAGCAAAAGCAGCAGCACCAGCATCACCTCCAGCTACAACAGCAGCAGCGACAGCAGCAGAAGCAGTATCACGCCAATACCACCGAAATTTTTGTTGTTTTGTTTGCAGTCTCACTGGAGAGGAGAAGACGATTGGGGGATTCGACTTAATATATAAGGGTATACAAACATAAATAAATTTCGTTGTTTCTTTTCTGCCTTTTACCTGATTTTGTCTTCGTCTTTATCTATTCCACCTTGTCTCACACTTTGCCTGCTGCTTTGTATTTGACGTTGGCCTCAGCTCTGTCTCTGTCTATGCGTTTGTATCTTTCTTTGTCTACCTCTGTCTGTCTCCCTTTCTGCCTTCGTCTGCCTCTTTCGTCTTGTTTGCCTTTCTCTCTCTCTCTCTCTCTCTGTCCATTTCTCTCTATTCCTTTGTGTCTGTCTTTCACTATGTTTTTGTCTCTGTCTTCTTCTCTGTCTCTCCCTCTCTCTGTTTCTTTGTGTCTGTTTTTCTCTATGCCTCTGTCTCTCTCTTTTTTTCTCTCGCCGTTTCTTCGTCTCTGTCTTTTTCTGTGTCTCTCAGTAACTTTGTGTTGTCTGTTTCTCTGTTTTTATCTTTGCTTTTGTGTTTGTCTTTGTATGTTTTCTTTGTCTTTGTCGGTTTTCTGTCTTCGTTGGCTTTCCCCGTGTTTGTATTCTAATATTTGCCTTTCTGTCTTTGTTTGTTTCCGTCCCCTTGTTTGTCTTTGTTTTGTTTTCTGTTTTTTGTCATTCGTTTTCTTGATTTGTTGATGTTGCTGTATATACACATGCATATATATATATATATATATATTATAGTGTTTGTTTTGTTTGTGTGGTGTACAGGTGAAGCCACAGATATATATATATATATATATACATATATATATATATATATTATATCTACGCATATTTGAATAAAAAAGTTGCATGCGCTGCTCAATATGTTATTGTGTACAGGCGAACCTGTTGATGTACTGCCAAAGGAAAGCCAAGTAAAATGTCTTCTAGGTAGAAATGCTTGCATGCATAAAGAAAATAAACAAACAACTAAAAGAAAACAATAAAAATACAAGAAGAAGCAGATAAAAATAAACAGAGCAATCAAAGACACACAACAGCATGCTATAGTTTATAACAAACTTACAAAAACGAAGGCAAAAATAAAAACAAACGGAGCAGATTGCCTGCTGCTGCTGCCGCTACTGCTGCAGGGACAGATATTCCAAAGGAAGGCAGGGGAGACTGAAAGAGCACCAGCAGCAGATATAGCAGCAGCAGCAACGGCAGCAACCCAACAGAAGCCGCAGGAGGGACTGCAGCAGAAGCAGCAACAGCAACAGCAGCAGCAACATTGCGCTGTTGTACAGCTTTTTGAACGCATCGAAAATGCATGCAAAGCTATAGAAAAACGAATATATGCAGAAACTGCGGTGTACAGACACCTCGTATTGTCTTTAAGAGTATGAAGGTCTTCTTGGTTTGTTTCGCATGTTTTTTGTATACGGTAGTCAGTTAATGTAAACGGACAACAGCATGGAATAATAAAAGTAACAATATTAGCAATATATATAAATATGAATATAAATATATATACTACATACATACAATATATATATATATATATTGTATGTATGTATTTATTTTGTGTAGACATATACAGAGAGACGGATAGAGGGAAGAGACAGAGAAACAGAAAAAAAAAGAGAAAGACGAAGGAGAGAGAGATAGAGAAAGGAGAGAGAGATATACAAAGGAGACAGAGATAGACGAAGGAGGGAGAGATAGAGAAAGGAGAGAGAGATAGACAAAGGAGACAGAGATAGAGAAAGGAGACAGAGACAGACAAAGGAGACAGAGATAGAGAAAGGAGTCAGATATAGACAAAAGAGACAGTGCCTGTTCTGTTTGTCTTTTTTTTTATTTTGTGTCTCTGTCTCTGTCGTATATTAACAAGACACTTAAAATGATGCGTTGTATAATATTTCTCCTCAAGAAAACTGTCTCCTCTAGAGACAAGGAAATACTTGCAGCAGCAGCAGCAGCAGCAGCAACAGCAACAGAACATCAACAGAGACAACTGCGCTGTATGTACACCGCATGCCAAGCCCTGCCTGCCTCTTATTACTCCACGATACTCGCAGCTGCAGCAGCACTGGCAGCAGGAGCTGCAGCAACTGCTGCTGCAGCCGCAGCTGCAGCTGCTGCAGCAGCAACGGCAGCAGCACAAGCGGCAGCAGCACCGTTAGCTGCTGCCTCCAAATCTATTTTGTGCATTGTTTGTACGAATGAGGTATAGTATAACATTTTCGCTTCTCCTTTAATATACATTCACTGTCTGCTGCACTTGCTGCTGCTCCAGCTGCAGCTTGCCGACATTTTTCTGTCTTTTCTTCGTTCCTTCACTTGGAGACAGCTGGGGTGTCTGTACGTTCTTCTCTTTCTTGCTCTGCTGCTGTCTCCTTGTCTTTTTCCTTTTCTTCTTCATTTTCTGCTGTCTCCTCTCCTTGCCCATCCTTCCTTTCGCTCGATGCCTCTGTTGCAGCAGCTGTTGCTGCACGACCTGCAGCACCACTTTCTGTTGCTGCAGCAGCAGCAGCAACAGGGGAGTGCTGGGGATGCTGCATCTCAGGGCCTAAGAGGCCTCTCAAACCCGGTAGGGGCCTTCGTTCATGGTCTGGCTCTAGTGCAGCAAGTCGTGCTGCTTCTGTTTCTGCTGCTGCTTCCAGCTGCTGCGGACGCAGCATCTGCTGCTGTTGCGGCTGCTGTTGCAGCAGCTGCTGCTTCAAGGCTGCAACACGACGAGCTGCATGCTGCTGCACCAACTGCTGCATCTCCTCTACTCCACTTATATACGTCACCGGACCCCGAGGCGGTGGCTGCAGACAGCAGCAGCAAAAGCAGCAGCAGTAAATGCAGCAGCAGCAGTAAATGCAGCAGCAGCAGTAAATGCAACAGCAGCAGCAAATGCAAACGTTTGAACAAAAGCAGCAGCAGAAGCAAACACAGCACCAGCAAAAACTACAACAGCAAATAAATAAACAAAAAGGCAAAATTAAAAAAACAAAGAAACCCAACATATAGTGAACAAATCATAACACTTGAACAAGCACAAAAAACAACACAACAAGCTGCTCCTGCTGCTGCTGCAGCTGTTGCTGCTACAGCAGCAGCAACAGCACTCGCAGCAGGTGCTGCTGCTGGAGCTGCTTGTGTTTGATGCCTCACTGGCATTCCTTTTTCAATAGCCTCCGTGTGTCCCTTTAAAGTGTCTCTGAATTCTGTTTCTTCTAAATGCAAAGCCAACTGCAGCGGCTGCTGCGCAAACTGTCTGAAGACGGGGAGTAGCTCAACGCAGTTACTAAAGAGAGGCCAACAGCCAAATACATATAAACCTAAGACAAACAAAGACAGAAAAATACATAAATAATAAATAAATAAAGAGACAGACAAATTGAGAGACAGACAATAAATAAAGAGACAAACGAATGGAGAGACAAACAAAGAGACAAACACAGAGACAAACATATATCAAGAGAAAGGAGCATAAAAACAAATGAATTAAACAAATACAGCAGCAAACAAACAGAAGGACAAACAAATGCGGAGACAGAACAAAAGTAGAGACACTTGAGACGGAAGCGAAGTAAGAGACAGAAAAATAAACAAAAAAACACAAAAAAGTAAAGTAGTAATAGAAAGAGACAGAAATAAACAAAACATGAAGCAAACAAAAGGAAAGAAGAAGAAAGAGACAAAGAAGAGACATAAGAAAGAGACAAAGAAGAAACACGAGAAAGAGACAAAGAAGAGACATGAGAAGAGACAGCAGCAGACAGTGAAGAACATGAAAAAGAAAGAAGAGACAGCAAAAGAAATCAAATTAAAATAAAGACAAACCCAGCCTCGCTCTGCTAACAGCGACAATCAGACGGCGAACATCTCGCAAATGCCCAACGCGGTTTGTGCGTACAAGAGACAGCAGAACATCTGCAGATAAACCAAAACGAAAATCTTTCTTTTAAATCAATTAATTAATTATAATTAATTGATGCGTTTAAATATAACTAAAAGCAATTAAATACAAAAACAGAAAATCTCCCTTTCAAAACAATTAATTAATGCGTTTAAATATATTTAATTAGAAGCAATTAAATAGGATGAAAAAGAAAATGTTTCTTTTAAATAAATTAATACATTTAAATATATTAAACACATTTAAACAAAAAATGAAGCGCGCCAAACAGAAGAACAAAGAAAAAGCAACAAAGAAAGAGACAATGAAGGAGACAAACAAAGAAAGAGACAAAGAAAAAAGAGAAACAAAGAGACAAACAAAGAGACAAAGAGAGAAAATAAAGGAAGAAATGAAAGAAGTGCGGCTGCGTACAGTCTCCCTGT